TGTGTGGAACAGCGCTCCATCGCCCTGCCTCATCTTTCTGCACAGTGCCCGTCACTCCCCGCTATGTTGTGTGTTCATTGTTTATTCTATAGTCAATAATAAATGTCCCCAAAATGACAGTTTTGTATGTTCTGTTCACTGCTCTATTCCTCAGTGGAATAGGAGTAGAATAGGAATGGCATGTGCTAGATGCTTAATAAATACTTGTTCCATGCCAAACAGCACTTCCTTCAGCCCACACGAGAAGCCCGTGGTTCCCCATTTCTCAGGTGTACAAACGGACTCAGGAAGGTGTGGGACCTGCCTGCAGTCACACGAGTTTGTCAGAGTTGGAGCTGGGGCTCAGACCTAGCCCTGCCCGCCCCTCTGCCTGTCCATCATCTCATTTCCCACCTGAAAAATAATACAGCTGGCTTTGCCCTTCCCTCCCCCTGGGACAGGCAAGACTGACAACTGCCGACTCTCAGCAGAGCCAGAGGTGGCACCTTCCTCAAAGGTCCCACCCAGGAGTCCACAAGGAGGCAGCCCCCCCGCCTCCCGCCCCCCGCAGGCCCCACTTTGACACTGCTCACATTTCCCTGGGACCCACACCCTATTCCCCCACCCCACTGACAGTGGTTTTCAGCTAAACCCACTCAGAATGGGTCTGGGGAGTGCTTTTCTGGCCTCTACCCCACCAGAGGCACAGTGGGAAAAAGACAAGAGACAGAGTGAAGGGACACTGTGCGGTGACTTGACCGCTGCCAGGCTCTGGAGCTCAGTGCAGCTGGACCCCGCGCAGCAGCGGTCATCCCCCAAACGCCTGCCTGCACAGACCGACCGTCCAACCAGCCCTGCCCTCTGCCCCACAGACGGCCGGCTTGTGCCGGTTCTGGAACAGGCTTTTGCCCTCCCATTGTCTGGGGCGGGTCACACCCCAGCCTCCCTTTCATCCCGCCCTGTTTTATACAATCCCTTAGCACCTGCCATGTGGTGCAGAGGACACCACTGTCACCTTGCTGCCACAGAGACAAGCCTCGAACATGACCTCCCCTCCAACTCTCTCTCTTCTGAAACATTTTATGTGATGGAGAGAGAGGGGGAGGGGCAAGGAAGGGCAGGCGGCAGAGGGGGTGGCTTACAGGGAATGAGACAGACACACAGACAGGTAGGAACAGAGACGGCAGGAAATGCGGGAGATGGGAACTGAGGGGGCGGTGAGACTCGGCAGGTTCCGGCCCACAGCTGGACGTAAACCCACAGCCTGACCACGGCCACTGCCATCCCAGCGGGCCCTTCAGAGACAGTGGAAAGGAGGCACCTGCGCTGGGTTTCAGAGTCCTGTCACCCAGAGCCAAGCGCCCCGTACAGGGCCCACCTACTTAGCAGGGCATGGCAGCCCTCCTCGTACCTACCTGTGTACTCAGGAGGGGACGGCAACTTTAAATGCCACCCAGTCCTCCGGACTGGCCCACAGATGCATCTGTGGTTCCCTTGAAACCTTTCAGAAACTCCAGGGCCCTCTCCGTGTGGGTGTGGCAGGAGCCCGAGCCCCGCCCTCTGCACTTGCCCGCCAGGCCTCCTCCCACAGCTCGTCCTTGGGCCCTGTCCCCACTGCCTTTGCCACCATCCCCAGAGGCCAGCCCAGGGCCCTGAGGCGCTGCGAAAGGCCATTGCCTCCGTGCCTGCTTCCTGCCCCGGCGCCAGCAGCTGCCCCTCCCAGCTGCTCAGACCTTCCTCCCTGCAGATCATGGGAAGTGGCTGGGGGTGGGCACAGAGGCTGCACGACCCTCACTTGACTAAGAGGGAGAGAAAGGAGCAGAGCCCCTCGTACTGAAGCAGGGACTCTGCCCCTCACTCCTCACAGCCTTAGCCTGAGCAGGCCTGGCCCACCCTAACCCACTGCCCCACTGGCCAGCCACACCCCAGGCAACAGGGGCCGGGGCCCGAGCTCCATCCTGTTGTGGCCTGGGCCCAGGATTCCCTACTCAACCAGGCACTGCTGCCACCAAGTTTGGGTCCTCTCGGGAAGGGAAGGAGGAGAAATACCCTCACGGGGTAAATGCAGGGGAGAGCAGCGGTCTAGGTGCAGCCAGGGAACCCACAGGCCGCCCTCCGAGGCCCGAGGCCCACCCCACAGCCAACACTCAGGGAGGATGTGATTAGGGCACAGGTGAGTCATGTGGTCACAAGGCCGTTTCCCGGCTGACTCAGGACAGCAGTCTGCATGGGCCCTTCCACCAGCCTCCAGCTGAGAGCCCGAGTCAGGGATTCCAGGTGCTGTGGCCAGGAAGCACAGCAGAAAGCCCCCCATCCCACCTGTGGGCCACCTGCTCTCTCCAAGGTTGGGGGGTGGGGGGCAGGGACATCACTTTCCCCTGGGCTGAGTGGGGACAGGAGGCCAGTCACTGCAGTCTCCCTCCCCCTCCCCTAAGCGCATGCCTTAATCATGTGATTAAGAGAGGCTGCCATGTCTGTTCTGACACTGAACTTCAGCTCAGCAACAGGGCCCAGGCTAGACTCAGAGCGGGCCACAGAGAAGGCCACACAGCTTCTGTAAATAGCAGTTGTGGGTTTTGAGAAGAGCTGGGGCAACGTGAGATCCCTCTCTCCCACATGCTAGAGTCTCAGAGGCTGAACCCCGTCCAGGGAAAAGAGGAACCCTGGCTCTACCCGACCCCACAGCACCATCTGGAGTGCAAAGTGGGCTGGCCCTGCCTCCCACCGGATCACTGGTACGAGGGTGTGCCTTCTCATGGACGGTAAGGTCATAGTTTTGTGAGCCCCCAATTCAAGCCCGCCCTTGCTGCCTGGCCTTCTAGATGTCTGGACCTCCTTCACGCACGACGTACAGGGGCGCCTGGCACTGGGCATGGCAGGGTGGGCTGCAACCAGGGGCAGCAAGACAGGGCCTGCTCGCTGCCCTTGCACTGGCCCCAGGAACCCGTCGCCTGCCCCAGCCCAGCCCCTGAGGCAGTCCCCACAGTCCCAGGGCTGCCTTCCTGGCTTTGTCCCTGTGCTGGCTGGGCAGGAACTTCCTGCCGGAGAATTACCGGATCCTCCCTGTGAGGCCACAAGCCGGGCCTGGGAACTTAGGCCTGGGAAGTCAGGGTCCTGCTGACGGGGGCAGGTCTGGGCCGGGGGCCTTCCCATCCCTGGTCAGATGCACACACCTCCTGTCCTCCTGCTCAGATGCCCCACCGCGCCCGCTGGAGCCCAGGGCTCTGCAGCCCCAGAGGCATGGACTGGGGACTAGACTGAGAGCCCAGATGAACTGAGCTTGCTCATGGTTGAAGATGAGGGGCAGGATCCACAGACAGACAGCCAAGGAGGCCAGAGTCAAACAGGGCTTTATTAATAACACCACAGGCCTGAGTCTGATTGGTGGGGACAGTCTGCTGGGCAGGCCCACCCTGCAGACGCATGGACACCATTTATCCCAAGACCCCCTGGTCCTGGGAACTCCTTGGATGTTCCCTAAAAAGAGGGGCTACGTCCCTGTGCAGGTTCCAGGGACCGGGGGCAGGGGAGACTCGGGCCAGCACCAGCTTCACTCTGGAGGCCAGTTTCCCATCTCATCCATCTCCTCAAGGAGAAGGTGCTGGGGGCGGAAGTGGGGGGAGGAAAATGCTTCAGCATCTTCGGGCTTTCCTGTCCTGGCTCTGCAGCCCAGAACCTCCCCGCCTACTCCCAGAGACAAACACCCTGAGGCCACTTTTCCCAGACCCTCTACCATGTCCCCGCAGCTGACCCAGACCCCCTAACTCTGGTCCACTTCCCTCTCATAAAATGGAGGGAACTCTCTCTCTCCAACTTGGGGTGTTCCTTCAAAGCCTCAGGAGTCCAGCACCCCAGCCATCCCCTCCCCGTCCTCACCTCTGTGCTATACACCACACCAGGGGGGCTCTGCACCCTTCTCTCCAGCCTAGGGTGGTGCTTCAGCTGCCTCAGTGCCTCTCTCCCAGGTCCCCAGCATTCCCCAAAGGCTGGGTGGTGGCTTCCTTCCCCATCAGCGTGACGTCCCTGAGGACAGACAAGAAGAGAGTGGAGCATGGTCGTGAGGACAAGACCTGTGAAACCCCCAGAGGAGGAAGATATTCCTGAGCAGCTGTGCCCCCCAAGTAAGGACCGAGCTCGGCCCCCACTGGTCACCCCCCCAGAAATTCTCCAGGGCCCCTCCAATGCTGTTCAGGCTACTCCAGGACTCTAATCCCTGGGTAGGGGCAGACTCGTTCAGGGGGTGGTTCTGGAGGGGAGAAAAAGGGGAAATGCAACAGTGGGGGGCCGTGCCAAAGCTGACTGCCTGCGTGGGTGAGGGACCCACAGCACAGCCCTGCTCCGCGGGGCACAGAGGGGTGCCCTGTGACAGGGGCTGTGGGCCCAGGACGGTGCGAAGGGAGTCAGAGCCCCACAGAGGGCGTCATATCCCTAATACCGAGTGCCCTCCCCGTGCAGGTGAGGGCTGTGCATTCTCCAGCTCATCTGACCCTCCTGGCAGTCCCCCTTCACAGGCAGAGGAACCAAGGCCTACATTCCAAGTCACAGAGCGAGTCAGTGCCAGAGCAGGCACTCGGACTAAAGACTGGCCCCCAAATCCTGTGCTCCGTCCTTTTGAAAACCAATAGACGGACAGGGCACGTGTCCACCGAGTGAAGGAGCGAGCTGACCAATGAATAGGAATTAACTCAGAAGGGGTACCAACAGATGCATCAATGGGCAGTCAGAGAAGCTAGGACAGGCATAACATTTAACGCTGCTGTCCAGGAGGCTGGGCCGTGCATGGTCCTCGGTGTGACCCAGCCCGATAACTGCCCCGCACCTATGTGTGTTTGTGAGAGTAGCTACAGGTGTGAATGGGAGAGGAAACAAACAATGAGCAACTTTTCGGGAGTTACAGATGTTCTGGAAAGACTTGAAGCCACCTAGACAAGTCCCCTCATTGTACAGATGAGGAAACTGAGGCCCAGAGAGGGAAAGGGACCTGCCCAGGCCACACAGCAAGTAAATGGCAAAGTTAAGCCTCAAAAGTGGACATTTGGACTCTGGGACAAATGTGAGACAGAGAGACTGTGGGAGAAGCATGTGTGAGTGCAGGGTCATGGCCCTGCCCCCAGGAGCACCACCACCGAGAAGGGGTTTGGCTTTCCCCACCCGGGCAGAGGGGGAGGGGGCTGGGACTGGAGCCAGGCTAGCGCTGGTGGACATGGCAGTCTCCAGCCACACTTCCGCCGTGTCCTCAGGCCGGGCAGCATACCTGGTCGTGCACGATGCCTGCCTCCTCCAGGGAGATCTCGGGATGCTTCAGTGGCTCCTGGCCCTCGGGGCCGCCCATCTTCCAGAGGCGGGACTCCTGTTGTACTACCAGAAGCTTCTCTAACTCTGGCTCCGTGAAGCCTGAGAGCCAGAGAGATGGGCAAGGGACAGGCGGGAACAGGGGAAGCGAACTGCTGGAGGCTGCAGGAAGAGGTGGCAGCACCGGCTCCCAAACCTCGCCCTGGCTGGCCCTGCGCACTCTCCTGTCACCCCAGCCATAGTGCTTTCTTCATCTATCCCCTGGAGCCAGCCAGACACCACCTCCTCACCGCCCTGCTCTCCCCAAGAAACTCACTTTCCATGGGCTCCCACCTGAAAGCATGAGTGTGTCTCATCGCCTCCTGGGAACAGCGTGCAAAGGGCAGATTATCTGCGCCCCCTCCAGCCACCAACTCAAAAGCATAGGTCTAGAACCATCCACACAGCCTGGGATCAAATCTCAGCTCTGCCACTTTACTTACTAGCAGTGTGATCTTGGGCAAGTTATTTAACCTCTCTGTATCTAGTTTCCTCACTGTGAAGTGGAGAGTAAATAGGACCTACCTCAGAATCATAATAAGTTATTCTGTGAAAGGTGCTTAGAAGAGGATGTGGCCCATAGAAATGACCATGTGAACGTCAACAATGATTTTACATTATCGCCATCCCCCATTCTCTCATCTGCCCTCAGGGACACCCTCTGGTCACAGCAGTGCATATGTGATGGGAAAACCACGGATGGAGGTGGCCACTGAAAAAGAATTCCAGGCCGGGGAAGAGTGGTGCTTGAGGAGCCACAGCCCCAGTAACAACCTTCACGGTGCTGTCTCTCAAACCCTGAGGGAGGAGGACCCTAGCCAGAGGGAGTGTGGCCTCCTGCCCAGCCAAACACTGGCCCCTTCTCCAGAGGCCATCTTATGTCCTATGTTACCACCTGGTGGTAAGAACTGGTATTACATCCAAGTACAGATACCCAACTGGGACTCCCTGGGCCTGGGGCATGTTGGGAGAGGATGTGGGGACGCTGCACTTACCCACTGTGTCTGTTGACCTAAATGTCTTATGCAGTGGCGACTGGAGGGTGACAATGCCTGGAACACAGAGCTGGAATGAGCTGTCCTCTTCCTCCATTTCCTCTTCCTCACCTTCCTCCTGTGGGGTGAGCCTTCCTTTATAGGAAACTGAGAGTGTGTCTTTCTGAGCAAGTAAGAAAGGCCCCAAGCCTGCAGCCCCATCCCTTTGTAAAACAAAAAGCAGGAGGGAACAGCTCCCAAAAGGTTAAGGAAGAGGACTGTTCCCACCACATATCCCAGCCAGGTGTGGGGAGGGGCTCACCCAGACCTCCCCCACTACTACCCCAGCTTGGTGCCACAGACCTTGGCCATGGCCAGTTTCTGAAGTTGCTTGTACAAGGTGAGGAGGTGGTTCCAGGGAGTTGCCCCCACGTTCAAAGAGGCCAGCCTGAGGTCTCCTGTCAACAGCAGTGTCACCAACCATCCGATAGCAATGGCAGGGGGGAGGGGGAGGTGCCAGGCCAGGCCCAGGCCCAACAGGGCAAGGACCCCTGGAGGGCTGAGCCGAGGGTAAGTTTTCCTGGTTTTCTTTAGCAAATACCTACTATGTGCCAGGCACAGTTCTGGGCACTTCACAAAGGACATTTCATGTAATCCTTGCTACTGTCTTCTGAGGTAGTACTACTGCATTCTAATTTAATATGGATGAGAAAACGAAGACACGGAAAGGTTGAGCAATTTGCTACCATCACACCGTTCGGCACAGTGGAGTTGGAACTGAACCTCAGGCAGCCTGCCCCCGGCATTCCCGCAGACTGTGTCCTTCCAGGCCCCGCGCCCCTGCAGAGTCCTGGCGTCTGGCCCTCCCCCACACCTGTAGCACTGCACTCACCGTCCAGCAGACACTCCTTTTCCTCCTCCCTGGTGAAGACCTCGGGGCTGACCTCCGGTGGTCCTGTGGCCCTCTGCTTCACCTCCAGGGCTTGGGGAGAGTGGCCCCTGATCCCAAAGCATAGCCAGGTGGGAGTGGCAGGTGGGGCCCGACACCCCCACAACTCCCAAGGCTCTCCCACAGGCCCTGCTCAGCCCCTCTATTCTCCTGCTCCCCAGAGCTCCCTCTGGGGGCTTCATCCTGGAGGCAGAGTGTTGGTTGTGGGAACCAGGAAGGAGAGAGTGGGGAAGGGTGGAGACGGGCCAGGACAGGACCTGGGAAGCAGTGGCGGCCAGCTCACCCTGACACACTCCTTTCTGACCCCCCAGTTTGTCTCCTTTTCCTTTTGGAGCCTCCCCACAGCCCATTATTTGTGGGAGGACCCTCATCTCTGCTTCCTCTGTGCCTCGTCCCCCTCCACACACACACACCCCATCTTCAGACGCCTCCTCACCCTTGATGGGTCCATTCTTCCCATCCAGGTGCTCTGGTACCATTCCTGGTACCACCCCAGTATGTGCTCTGCCATACCCTTCTCAGAGCTTACATCCAGGCTTTGTTCTAATACCTCCACCCCAGGCCCCTTCCCACCACCCGCAGCCCAGTAACTCACCTGTCTGAGGTCCCTGTATCTCCGGAGGCCTCCTCTACTGCCTCTTCCTCCTCCTCCTCTTCCCTCTCCTCCTTCTCAGACAGATTGCCTAGAACCTCCAGGCTTTCTCTGGGCAGAACTGACTTTACCTCTGCACCTGGGGCTGTGATGCCCAAGACCCCAACCCCCATCCCCAGCCCTGAGGGACTGTGCTGTGGCAGGGCCATAGAGAGGGTGTGGGGCACTGAGGCTTGCAGCCTGGGATCCTTCTTCCCCACTTCCCTCTGGCCGGTTGCCACCAAGGACGCAGCAGCCAGCTCTCTCAAGGGGCACTGCTGATCTCCCAACAGGGCCTTGCCAGAGCTCTTTGGGCTGCCCTTGCTCCCCACCAGGCTACGAAAAAAGTGGAACATGGAGGAGTGGCACAAAATTTGCGATCCAGGGGTTGGAGGACCAACTCCACCCAGGACCAACTGCTTAAGAATGGGATGAGTTTTCAAATTAAAAGCAACAGTTGGAAACTTCCAGGAGTTCTAGAAGGCAAAGGTCAGGCAGGTGAGAGTGGGGAGTGATGGTGGGACGTAGTGGGGGGGTTAATTAGGGGTAGAAAGGTCAGGGGGCTTATAAGGCAGGGGAGGAGGCATAGGGAGCCAGTCTGGGGGTAGGTGGTGAGGAAGTGTGTGGGTGGGGAGCCGGAAGCGGAAGCTGGGGGCAGCCCCCCCACCCCCTCTGCCTGAGAATGGGGCAAGGGCCCTTGAGGACTCGGCCCACCCTCTCTACCTGGCTGGTCCTGCCCCAGGCTGTGGCTGCTTCTGTCCTTGAAAACCATTGCTGGCAGCCGGACACCATCCGTCCTCCTTGTCCTCTTCCCTCTGAACACTCAGCTTGCATGTGCCCAGGTGGGAGCACAGACCTCATTGTGGTTTTGTCTGTTTGCCTGCCTATCTCCATCAGGATTTCTATCTCCAGGGACCACTGAGGTGCCTGGTACACCTAGTTGCATGTTAAATCTCAGTTTAGTATTATTATTCCCCATGGCACCTCCAGACTTGATTATGAACCCCGCTCAGAGATTTTGGGAGAGTGCCTTAAACCAGCTGAGCCTCAGCTGCTTTATCTGTACAGGGCGTGAAGTTGAGGGCATCGCTTCCAAGGGTTCTCGGGAAGATTCAGTGAGACAATGCTTGCTGAAGTGCATGGCACTAGTGGGGCTTAAGAAACTTCACCACTGGAGCTTTTTTTACTGGAATTGATTGCTGCGAGGGAGAGAAGACGATCAAGGGTGGGAAAGCAGTAGGGGAGGAGTCACCGCCGGGGCTCTGGTTTGGGGCGGGGGCAAGCCCAGTCCGCCCCCTGGCTGGGAGACTGTACATCCGCATCCGGCGACCGAAGAGCAACTTCCTCTAGAGGGAGCTGATTGGAACCGGCAACAGCCAGCACCTCTATGATTGCCGAAGCTTCTTGGGTCTCCAGGGCCGTGCTGGGATGAGCCGAGGCTGTGTCCAGACACCAGGAATTCACTGACACGTGTTCCGAGAAGCTGGGCCTGGGAACCTACCCCTGGAGCAGCCCCTCGGGATCTCCAGCCTCGGTCCCGCTGAGCCATCCCTGGCCTAGGCCAGGGTCTGGGCAGGTAAGCAGGGAGGGTCCCGCCCATCCTCTCCATTCTCGGCAACTCCTGGGCGACCCCAGGTTCGGGGCGGGGCAGGAAGCCCCCTGGGAGCCTGGTGGGAAAGGAGAGGCTTCCCGGGCACCTTCACCAACCCCTGCTGGGGGCCTGATCCAGCCAGGGCTCCCTCTGGCTGCTCCTCATGCCCCGGCCCTGGGTACCTGAGAATGAAGTGCCAAAGAACCAAGCCTTTCAGCGGTCTGGGGGGCAGGAATGGAGGACAGAGCCAAGGTCAAGCAAGGGCTTGAAGAGAACTCTTAACTGCACTTCCTGCCGCCCCAGGAGCCCTAGACTGGGTCTGCAGCTCAGTATGCCATTTCCACTGGGGAACATTCTGAGCTCAACAAGCCCAGTAGGTGGGGTGCAGGAGGCTCCCCCTACCAGGAAGTCTTGCCAATTGGATGGGGCTGGGGTAGGGCCAGGTCGGCGGAGGCCGCTGGCCCTGGGGCTGTGGTGAGGCTCCACCCGCTCTCCGGCAGTGATCCCCAGGGTAACGGGAAAGGGAGTTGCTGGTGTGGTCAGCATCCTCTGGCCCTGGTGTCCTGGGTGCCGGGTTTTGGGGACCAGGGGAGAGACAAGGGCATCTTCCAGAAAGAGCTACTGGGATGGGTGGGGGTGTGCCCGGCAAAGGCCTATTCTGAGGAGCCCAGGGATGGAGGAGCGAGGGTCTGCCTTCTCCCTGGCCCCACCCTGGGAAAGGAGGAATGGAGAGCGAGTGCAGGGTGGTCCAGCCCTCCCCCACCCGCTCTGAAAGGGTCTGTGGGCATTTTCAAAAATGGCCCTGGCCTGAGAGAAAGGGGGTGAGGGAGGGTATCCCTGTCTCGCAGGGGGAAGGGGTGGCTCTGCCTGGCCGGTTGGGGCATACCCTCCCCAGGAATGCAGGGAGGGGCACCCCTGCTTGGGTGATGGAGCGGCTCGGTGGTGGGGGGAAACGAAGGGGATGCGAAACTGAAAGTGAAACAGCTCTGGTTCAGGAACCGCTCTCCGAGTGCTAATGGTTCACAGAGCGGGTCTGGGTCAGGCCCCCAGGGCAGCGGACAAGTGTGGGGTGAGAGGGCGCCTGTGCGCGGCAGGCCGAGGGCCTGGAGAAGACCCTGAGGCGTCCTCAGCTGGCTGCGAGGCGGGCATGAGAAGGCACAGGCCAGATGTAACTAGGAAAAATGGCCCTGGAAAGGACATCCTCTGAGGTCCACAAACTGGAAAATAAGTCTTAAATGAAAGTTGAGTATATAGACTCCTGGAGATTCAGATAACCAGCCTCACTCCCTGATGAGCTGTGTGGCCTCAGGCACTAACCCCTCTGCGCCTCACTTCTCCCAGCTGTGAAATGGGTGTGACAGGGCTTACCTGGCTGGGTTAATGTGCGATTTCATTGTCTGACAGCCCCTGGGGGGTGCTGATACTTGGTAGAAGTAAACCATAGGCACTCAGAAATGTTGTGGCTAACAGGCCTGAGTTGGAAAACAGGTGTGCTCTGACTAGCCTGGGGGAGCAGGACCTTTGAGGCCAGCCTCCATGGGTCACTGGCTGGAAGGTGGTAAGCCTGTGGTAAACATGTGCTGGGCAGGGTACCGGAGGCTCCAGGGGTGAGGTGAAATGAGACTCGAGAAGCACTAGGGCACGGCCGCAGCCACCCCTCCTCTGGCCCTGGATGCCAGGGTGCAGATCCCCTGGTGTGAATCTTGGCCGCCTTGCTTTTTTTACTCCTGGGCTCCCCTGAAGAGTTGCCAGTAAAATACAAGTGGCTGAAGCTGGGACTGTGCCCCCTCACTCCCATGTGGCTGTGGAAACCTCTTGTCAGTGGTCCCTGCTTGTCCCCATCTGCTCGGCCTTTTCTCACTCCTCCCCATAGACTAACACTGCTGTCCCCTGAGACCTGAAAAATGGCTTCTGGGCAAGGACCAGGCCCTCCCGGGCAGGGGTGTGAAGAGCCTGCCCCGTCTTCCACTTCAGGTAAGGGTCTTTCCGCCCCCTCACCCCACCCATGACCACCAGGGCTGTCTGTGAGGCAGAGAGAACAGAAGTGGACAGGGCCAGGAAGAGCTTATGGGCAGGCTCTCCTGCCTCAGTTTGCTCACCTTGGATATAGGAGAAAATGTCTCCCCGCACAGTGCAAGTGGCCTTTGGGCTCAGGCTACAGTGAGGTCAAGTTTAAGCCCTGGGAGCAGGGAGGAGCCCGGGCCACAGTTGCTGCAGAGACTGGGCACAGCGCCATCCCAGCGTGGGCAGGGGGCGGGAGGGGATGAGCAGAAGGAAGAGTGGGGAGTGGCTGGCCTATCTGAGCAGCAGGAGAAATAAGGAAGTAGTTGGCTTAGCATGGAGTCAGGTCTGTTCAACAGGGAAAATATTGCTACGACTTTGGGAAGGAAGTAAGATGGCTGCCGTTCCTTCTTCCAAGGGGACCATCAGAGAAGCCTGCACCTTGCAGTCACAGGCTGTTCCCTGGACTTTGGGTTCAGTCCCAGGTCTGTCGCTGTTCTCCTGTGTAGTGTTTATGGCCCCACATTCCCTAAGTCGTATGGGCTGGGTCCCCTGTGTGCACGTTAAATTCAGGGCCCAAATACCTGGGGTTCTATCCCGGCTCCACCACTCATTACAGCCTTATGACCTTGTGTAAGTTACATTCCTGTCGCCCTGCCCCGAGGCTCAGTTTCTCCATTGTAATGTGGGTATCGCCTACTTCACTAGATGAGGATTAAATGGGACTCACCAGAAGACTAACTCACACAGAGAAGCACTAGGTGTTAACTAAGGTGCAAGGAGAGCTACGGCCTTGAGGGAGAGTAACCGTCTCCACAGCATAGGGCTACCAGGTCCAGCCCTCCCTCCCTGACTCCCGGCTTTGATCCTCAGAGGAGCAGGTAGTCCGGGACACAGAGGAGGTTTTCCACAACTACGTTTTTTACCGCCATCAGCAGGAGCAGGAGGCTGAGGGGGCGGCTGCCCCTGCTGACCCCGAGATGGTCACCTTGCCCCTAGAACCTGCCAGGTGAGCAGCAGTCCCACGGGGATGTCTTTAGGGAGGCGGAGGTTCACAGCGGTCACTGTGCAGATCCTGGGAGCGGGGAGGGTCTTGTCTTTCTTTAGTTGTTCCTTTTTCATCTTGGGCTCCCACCCCCGTGGGGGCCCCTGTTCCTGGGCCTGGCCCTTGTGTCTGAGAACACTGTCAGGACCTCCAAGGAAGGGTGCACAAGGCCAGGGGCATCTCGGGCAGAAGCCCCAGCTGTAAGCCTGGGCCCCAGGCCTGAGTACTGTCCGTCACTCACCTGCTGCCTCCTGCTCCTCCAGCATAATGGGGCAGGTGGGTCGGCAGCTGGCCATCATCGGGGACGCCATCAACCAGCGCTATGATGAGGAGTTCCAGACCATGCTGCATCGCCTGCAGCCAACTGCAGAGAACGCCTATGAGTATTTCACCAAGATCGCCTCCAGGTAGCCCTGGGCACTACCTCTCTGCTGTGCATCACCACTGTGCTGTGCCCTGCCCGGTTGATGGGAGACACACACTTCTCTGTCAGTTTCAGGAGACATGTTTGCTGTCCCCATGTCTGCATTAACTCACGTGCCTTTGCTCACCGGGTCCCAGACTCATCTCTGGTACAGGAACTCAGAGTCTGTGAGCTCTGGCTCCGGGCGCTTGACTGGTTAGATCAGAACTGCAGAAGGGCCCTGGATGGGGATGTTCCTAAGCCCCACTCTGGCTAGGATACAGCTGTCCTTCTGATTTAGAACTACATTGCACACCAAAGATGGTAAGGCAGCCACCTGCTACCAGATCCTGGAAATGGCTTCCATATGCTGTAGCCACATGGACAGGCAGGCGGTGTGGTAGTTAAAGAGACCAAATACCAGGGTCAGAGCTCAGCTTTGCCACTTCAACTGGCTTTGTGAAACTTTCTAGCCCTCTCTCTCCTCTCTAAGATGGGGGAAGTATGCTTAGTACAGTGTCCACACCTACAAGGTGTTAGCTAGTGTCACCATCAGGGTCAGAGAGGTCAGCATCAGGGCATATTTGCAGCTGGGGGTGAGAGCAGGACTAGGCAGTAGACCTAGAAGAGATGAAACATCCTGCCCATGTCCTTAGAGGCCCCCCTCCACCCCACTGTGATTCCAGGATTTGTCCTAACCTCCTCTTCTGTCCTTTTGTCTCTGCTGTCCCTCGGGCTGCCAGGCCAGCAGCAACGCCCACAGGTAACCTTCCTGCTGCCTACGTCTGCTCTCTGCGCCATGCCCTGTCTGTGCCCTTTGCGCCCCCAGCAGCGGGGCCCCAGGGTGGCAGGAGCCCCTTCCTGTGTCCTCTAAGCTCTCTCCTTTCACAGAGACACAGGCTCTTCTCAAACAGCAGCCAGGCTGGGGCAGCCTCTGCCACTCTGTGTCACACCTAAGCCATTTTGCTTTCCAGCTGGGAGAGGGGTGGGGGGACAAGGAGGTGGGAAGGGGAAAGCAGGCTGACGGACCTCCTGGGGGGCTTCCACTGATGGCCTCCATGCTCTGCCTGCAGCCTGTTTGAGAGTGGCATCAACTGGGGCCGAGTGGTGGCTCTCTTGGGCTTTGGCTACCGCCTGGCCTTATATGTCTACCAGCGTGGACTGACTGGCTTCCTGGGCCAGGTGACCCGCTTCGTGGTCGACTTCATGCGGCATCACTGCATTGCCCGGTGGATCGCGCAACGGGGAGGCTGGGTGAGTGCCCAGCACTGGCAGCCTTGCATGTGCTGCCGGGGCTGCCCCTGTCCCAGCCCCTCCCACCCCCTCCGGTCCCTTGGTGCCTGCATATACTGCCAGCTCCTCTCTGACCACTCTGTCTCGTCTGGCAGGTGGCAGCCCTGGACTTGGCCAACGGCCCTATCAGGAACGTGCTGGTTGTTCTGGCTGTGGTTCTGTTGGGCCAGTTTGTGGTACGAAGATTCTTCAAGTCATGACCCCAGGAGGGGCTCTTTGGGGTCCCAGTCGAGACCCCTGCCTGGACTTCAGCTAAGCCTTCTTCCCTTACCACCTCCCCTGCAGGGGTCCTCCCCTCAAGAATACAGAAGCTTTAGCAAGTGGGCACTCCAGCTTTGAAGTGTCCCTGCTCAGGGGTCAGTCAGGCCTCAGGGGTACCCCAACATTTCATGGTGCTAATGGGCCCCATCTCTGGGCTCAGCTCTGTCTGCTGGGCTTTGGGGAGGTTGATAACTTAGGGAAGCAAGAAGCTGGGAGGCACTTTCCCCCCGGGAAGTCCTTAATGATTTTAGCTTTTTATAATACCCTTAGAAAGACACCTCCCCCACCCCATTTCTACCACTCTGCTCCAGGCCAGGACATCTGGGGTGCAGGGGGTTAGTGGGCCTGCCCTGTGTTGCCCAGGAACACATTTGGCTGTTCTGGGAGATCAGAGCTTTAAAGCTGGGCCTGGAGCCCAATCCTGACCCTTCCAAAGCATCATGTTCCCCAAGAACAGGACTAGCTGGGGTTGGGGAACAGGACCTGCTCAACTGTCCCCCCATCCCATACTGCCTTGGCAGTTGGACTCTCAGGGATTTAGGGTCTGAGGTGTGGAGTGAGGGTGCAGACCGGAGCTGTCTGAATTTATCCATCAGGTGCCTCCAAATCTGCCTCCTAAGGTGCTTGGTTCTCTCCCTTCCCCTCACCACCGGTTCCCGATGCTGTCATTACTAGTGAAGGCTGCCTGTCCCATCACTCCATATAAAAAGGGCAGAGGCCTTGGCAGAGTGGAGTGCTGAGGACCCCACCTTGCACAGACTCCAGGGTTTAGGGCTATGGTTTGTTACTGTCAGGGAAGGGCTAGTGAGCTCATCTTGAGGTTTCTGAGTGAGAGAAGGGCTGTTAACATCACCAGGAACCCCAAGGTTGGAATCCTCCCTCATGGGTTGGGCACAGTGTAATCTGGGGGTGTGCAGGGGAAACTGTGAATACTTGACCTCTATCCCCAGACCCCCATCCCCTATACTTATGGCCTAAGCCCTTCCTGTGGGTAGGGAGTAGAGTAACTTGTCTACCTTGTACAGCCCAGGGAATTGGGAAGAGAAGTTGTTGATTAAGCCAAATGCAGGGAGCCCACTGGCCACCCCCACCCTTTGAGAGTGAAAATAAACTGCCGTCCCCCCATTCCTACTGGTAATTTTTGTATCCTTGACTACCCCTCTTTCCATCAAGATGAACTGGGGGAACTTGGACATACCTGGCATTCACCTGGTTTATTACTGAATAAGGTCTCATCTTAGGCTTCCAGGATCCCATAAAGGGCTGGCTGTGGTTCTCTACACCCCTAGAATGCCTCGGGCCCCCCCCTACTCTCTAGCCCCTTTTCTAGCCACTTCTGTCATCTGAGTTCCAGGTAAGTTTTCTGCCTTCTACAAGAGGTTCGGGAACCCCAACCAGTGGCCTCTGGCTGCGGAGCTGGTGGAGCAGCTGCACCCGTCTGGGGACCCCTGCAGGACATCTCAGGCCTGGATTGAATTCCTTACCCTTCCTGGGGCCACCACCCATACTTGGCTTCTGCTTCCCCATGTCCTCAAGCTAGCACATACACAGCTCTTCCTTCTAGCACTTTTGTGCTGCATGGGAGTCCCTATGGGGAGGTAGCCAGAGTTGGTAAAAATAACAAGCATGGGGGCATTTAAATGTTCCACGATCTACAGTCTTTCCAGTCCGGGGCATCCTAGTCTGTTTCTGATACCTGTCCAAAATGGTCACATGCAAGTCCTAAAGGACCCAGGTGCTTCACTTTCATTCCTGAGGGAGTCTTGCCAATCCCAAGCCCATCCAATTTGGCTTTCAAAGAGTCATAAGATAGATGCACTGGTGGAGAGGGCCCTCCCTTTCCCTCTCCCACACCAATGGTGGCTGGAAGGGTGGTGGCTACAAGGCACCACGCAATCTCCTGCAGGAAAACCTCAGACATTTACGAAGCACTGTATGGGAGTTTCATGCTGAGAATTTATCATCTCCCAGTCAGTTAGTTATAGTTAGTGACCTGGGGGGAGGGGATCTCAAGCCCCAGGAGCTAGCGCTTGCCACTCATAATGCTGAGTGATCTGAGGTTTTTACGCGGGAGCGGTGAGCGCTGGAGCCTTTGGAGTACGAGCACAGGTCGGCCAAGAAGTTAGGTGGGGAGGGGGTTGTCCGCCTGGCCTCCACGATACCCCTACACGTAGCTGCGGCGCTAACGCCCGCAGCCTCCGAAGACAGCGACAGTTGGGCAAGCTGCCCGAGTCCAAGATGGCCCCCTCCGCCTCGATCACACCTGCGTTTCCTCTTATGGGCGGGGCCTCTGGACGCACCTCCCCCTCGGGGTGTTTTGAGAACAATGTGGGGGTCCTTCCTGAAAGAAACTGGTTCAGCAGCTGTGAGGAACGTGGGTGGGCCCTGGCAGGGGCTGTGGACTCTACCCCCATAACAAAGGAGTTGGAACGCTGTCCTGTAAGGCACGGGGAGCCCCCAAAGGTCTGGGCCTGTGTCTAGCCTGGCCTCTACTATCCCATTTTATTCTGCCAGGAGGAAGTTTCCAAAACCCAAACCCAAGCGCCCAGGAGATACTGAAACCTGAGACCCAGAAGTTAGGAGTAACAGAACAAGGCAGCGACTGTGGGGGTACAAGGGAGCAGATGGGTTCTGCAGTTGTTAAGGAAGTTAAATTCTCCTCTAAATGCCCTTACGTTTTGTGGTTCTGAAATTGTACAATAGTTTTTCCACCAAAGGTCTTCAGTTGGTGCCACTGCACTGAAGCAGGGTAACCATGGGACAAGAGCAAGTTCAGGTGGCAGCTGCTCAGTGGTGCAGTGTCAGTATAAGCACCTGCCCTGCCCTGTACCCACTGCCCCTTGCCCCCACCCCACACTACCTGCATGTGTTGCTATTTCACCCACTCTGAAGAGTGTGTTTTACGTCACTGAGTGTCCAACTAAATCCTTTAATTCAAGAAAATCCTATTTTGGCAAAACCATTCAGTAGATTGTTTTGAACAAGTTTTTATTACCTAACCATCTGAGTAGCATTAAAATAAAATGTAATTATTAGGTAATTAAAATTATGATGCCACCATATCATGCTCTAGTTGTACATGCCTCAGAAACAAAAGTCCCCAATCAAACACACTTGCAAAAACTATACTTTCAGGGACCATTTCTGTAGTTGTTACTACAGAAGCTTCTCTGAACGTGGAGAGCACCGAAACCATGGGGAGGGGGCACAGCATTCTCTCCTGAGCATGATGCAGGCTTTGGTGTTGCTTTTTTAACTGCTAATGGCCACTGATGATCATTCTTCTCTTTCTTTGGGAGGGTGAGAGAGAAGGGATGCAGTCTAAATGGCTTCTTTAAACACACACACACACACACACACACACACACACACACACACACAAAATAGGGGTTTAGTTCAATTTAGCCAGAAGAGATGTTCATAATCTCATGTGTGTGTTGAGGGTGGGGGAGACAGAGAGAGAGACAGAGAATGGAGTTACCAGAGTTTCCTGGAGGTCAGGGGCCAGAAAATTGGCAAAACCCAACTTCTGGCTCATGTTCACCATGCTGGATATGTTAAAAAAAATGTGAACACACTACTGGATGTAAAGGATGTGGGGGCATTGAGCCTACCAGATGGCAATGTAATGGGGTGCAACCAGGGCCCTCCCCAAGAAGGATTTGTAACAGGGTACAGAACTCTGTGTGTCCAGGAAATATTAAAAGTATAGGATGTCCTTGCCCCCACAAGTCTGAACTGGGGGATGGGACACATGGAGCAGGGCCACTGAGAGATGTTTTGCATAGCAACAGTTTTGCAAATAACTGCAAAAATGGTCATTTGATGTATCTTTAATTTTTGGTTAGTTTCATAGTATGTTAAGTAGCTGTGGCCAAACTTTGAACCAGGAAGATGGGGGTGAATTTGACCCATGAGATAACTGGGAGGCAGCTCCCCCTGGTTATGGGGCCTGTGTGAGAGCTTGGAGATAGTTTGCTCAGTGCCATGGGGCCATGCCTGCCAGGACTTACTATGGCAGCCCAGAAAAGCTGAAAAAATACAGGAATGCTGGCAAGTGTAGCAGATTTTAGCAGGAGTTGGAAATGGAGGTGCAGAGGGAGATTTACACCAGGATTTAAACCCAGGCATGGCGACCATACAGATTGGAACCACATGGTTTGGGGGCTCCCGTAGCCAGGCAGCTCAGGGAGCAGGAAAGACAATGCAGGACTAGGGACAGGAACAATGCGAGACCTTGCAGGGAAGGAAAGGGGGGGGCGGTGAAAGGACTCTCCCAGTGGGCCATGAGAAGGCGCCACGTGGTTTTGGATTAACCGGAGATCGCAGCGACATAGCTAATGGTGCTGGGAACCGTGGGAGGCCTGCCCAGCCAAGCACGGATTACTGAGAGGAACCAGGATCCAGCTGAGCCACAGACTTCTATTTTTTTCTGAGATACAGAACCCCTGACCGGGCAAGGGAGTGGAAGGAAGGACTGTTTATGTTTGTGGGTGTTTTAAGGGACTTTGAGATTTTAATGAAGACATTAAGTTACACTCTAAGTTTGTACAACTTTGAATAAATAGTTCCTCTCCTTTTCATGAAACTCTGGCATTGAGAGCCTTAATTCCAATTCCCTGGCAGCAGGCAAGGCGAAGCTAGTACAGGGGAACCCTGGAAGAGGGGGAGGGGGTCTGTTCTGTAACAGTAAGAGGACAAGAACAGTGATCTGGCCTATCAAGCACATGACTGCTTAACTGCCAGAAGTAAGTTACCAGCAAATTATATGAATAATCTTGTAGAGGGGCGACCTCGCAGGACCAAGATCAGGTGAAGTACCGAGTCTGGACTTTTCTGGAAAAGGCCCTTAATAACTGAAGGGACTAAAGCCACAGGATATCTCTTCATCTGGAGTGAAGGATTTGGCAATGGACTTGGGCAGGCACCAAATGGATGCCTGTGAGGGTGTGTGAGGCATCTGGAGAGGAACATTTAGTGGGTATTGATTGTTGGAATCAACATGGAAATCAGTACAGCTCTCAGCTCCACTCGCCTCAATTTTTCCTTTGCAATTTTGGACCATTCCCAGAGCCCAGTGTTTCGATTTATTTTCTTGTTGTTAATGAAAATAAGATTTGACTTCTGGCCAAGATGGAGGCATAGGTGGAAACACTATGCCTCCTCACACAACCAAGTTTAAAGACAACAAAGTTTTAGTAACAAAAACACAGCCAAAACACAGAAAATTGAACTGTACGGAAGTCTGACAACAACAAACCATTCAGCCAGACTGGTAAGAGGGGTGGAGTCAGCGGCGGAGTGGAGTCAGTGGTGGAGGGGGGTCAGGCAGGAAAGGTTGGTGGGACCAACCCAGACACCCAAGCGGCAGTTGGGGGATCCCAGGTGTGGGGTGGGGACGGGCGGACCCAGTGAGGGCGCAGGGCAGCTGGCTGACCTCGGTCACGCATTCAAGCACAGAAAAACCAAGCAAAGGATCGAGCAGTGAGACAGACTGCTCAGGCTAGGGCCCCAGTGACAGGAATTAAGAGCCTGAAAGCACCAATTGGAAAGACTTTCGGGGTTGAGGTGCCAGGAGAGGCTCCCAGGCTCACAGAGAGTTTGTTGGAGAGACCCACAGGGTTCTGGAGGGTATACAAGCCCGCACACCCAGGAACCAGCACCAGAAGGGCCCAATTTGCTTGTGGAAAGCAGCAGAGGAGACAGATCTGAGAGAGAGCAGAACAAACGCCATTGTCCCTCTCTGACCCTGCCCCCACATACAGCATCACAACCCAGCAACCTGGGTGGCCCCGCCCTGGTGAACACCTAAGGCTCCACCCCTCATACATAATATGTGCAAACAGACCAAAACATTATGGCTCAAGAACAGCTCAAAGCCCCAGAGCCAATACTTCTAAGCGACCAAGAGATAGCTAACCTATCAGATGCACAGTTCAAAGCACTGGTGATCAGGATGCTCACAGAACTGGTTGATTTTGGTCACAAATTAGAGGAACATATGAAGGCTAAACTAATTGAAATGAAGGGAAATGCACAGGGAACCAATAGTGATGGAAAGGAAACTGGGACTCAAATAAAAGGAGTGGACCAGAAGGAAGAAAAAAATGACCAAACAGAAAAGAATGAAAAAACAAGAATTCAGAAAAAATGAGGAGAGACTTAGGAACCTTCAGGACATCTTTAAACGTTCCAACATCCAAATTATAGGAGTACCAGAAGGGGAAGAGGAAGAGCAACAAGTGGAAAACTTATTTGAACAAATAATAAAGGAGAATTTCCCCAATCTGGCAAAGGAAATAGACTTCCAGGAAATCCAGGAAGCTCAGAGAGTACCAAAGAAGTTGGACCCAAGAAGAAACACACCAAGGCACATCATAATTACATTAGCCAAGATTAAAATGAAGGAGAGAATCCTAGAAGCAGCAAGAGATAAGGGGACAGTCACCTACAAAGGAGTTCCCATCAGACTGTCACCTGACTTCTCAAAAGAGACCTTACAGGTAAGAAGGGGCTGGAAAGAAGTATTCCAAGTCATGAAAAGCAAGGACCTTCATCCAAGATTGCTCTATCCAGCAAAGCTTTCATTTAGAATGGAAGGGCAGATAAAGTGCTTCCCAGATAAGGTCAAGTTAAAGGAGTTCATCATCACCAAGCCCTTGTTATATGAAATGTTAAAGGGACTTATCTAAGAAAAAAGAAGATAAAAAATATGAACAGTGAAAGGACAGCAAACTCACAGTTATTAACAACCACACCTAAAACAAAAGCAAACTAAGAGGACAGCTAGATCAGGAGCAGAACCATAGAAATGGAGATCACATGGAGGGTTAGCAACAGGGGAGTGGGAAGAGGAGAAGGGGGGACAAAGTATAGAGAATAAGTAGCATAGACAGTAGGTAGAAAATAGACAGGGGGGAGGGCGAGAATAGTATGGGAAATATAGAATCTAAAGAACTTGTGACACATGGACATAAATGAAAGGGGGGAACGGTGGGGGAGGGGTGTGCAGCACGGAGGGGAATGAAGGGGGGAATAGGACAACTGTAATAGCATAATCAATAAAATATATTTAAAAAAAGAAAATACGATTTATTACATCAAGTTATAAATACATACAAAGATGCAGACTGTTAGTTATTTTCTTCCAGATATTTGGATCAACTTATGGGAAAGGTGGAACTGAAATGTATATACAGTCTTAGGAAAAATTTCAGGGGTTCTTCTTAGATGAGGTTTGGTAAGTTGCTCTTTCTTGTGTATTTATAACTTATGCATTTTTAAAGTTGACTTCGAAACACAGTCATGCAAATTCTTAAGTGAAAAAGAACTTACTGTATGGCAAACGGGGACCTGTTACTAGTAAAGCGTGCTGCGGTCGGTATGCACTAAAAACAAAACCCTTATGGTTGCATTAGCCTATGAAGAAAGACAAAGAAAAATTTGAGTAACATAAATGACTTCAGAAGAGAAACACTGGTATCTTGAAGGCAAACTACAGTTTGCTGTGAGATAGGTAACTCTGACGCGCATCTTTTAAGTCAATGCCTTAAAAACCCCAAACATCCTGGGTAGTGTCTAACTAATATGAAAACCCTAATCAACTGTAAAGTCTCTTCTCCATTTTAGGGGCTGTATGTTCAGGACTATAGTCCATGGGAGGGACAAGGGGAGGAAAAACAAAACTTACCGTTTTGAAAACAAGTTTCGTGTGAACAGGGGAGATGAACTGTATGTAACCTTGGAAGACAGAAAGCCTTCCAGCCAACAAGGCAGCTAGGACCTGGTGAACCTTTCTGTTTCAACCAGGCACTCCCAAACCAGTCCTCTACATTGATTTCTCACTTTTGTCTCTCTGTCGAGTGCCTGTGTAAGTGGGTCAGATGTCTCCCCAACTCTTCCATGACAGCTCATTGTGTTTGCTCTGAGGCACCCGGCTGTTCCCAATTCCCTGGGTGTAACCTAGAGGTGGTGGCTTATAGTCAGTCACTCAGGAGCTCCAATGCCTCAACTTTTTGCAGCATGGGCTAAGAATACAGCAAAAAAATGTTCTTCAGAACTGCCCCACTGCATTGGGCAGTGCACCTATTTTGCAGTGTTCATGGTACAGGCTTTTGTGATGATTGACTGCATGGAAGCTGGGTCACTAACCTTCTCACGATGTGACCTGACTTCTCTTTGACCTGATCTCTGACCCAACTGAGAGGAACTCCTACTTATTTCCTTGGTTAGGCTGACAAGAGTGGTAACATTTTCTTGCTGGAGAAGGACCACCCCAGGGAAAGGCAGGTGCGTTTGGCTTGTCCAGCATCTCTGAATTGTGCATGTGA